TCCAACTCCTGAGATTTTGTGATTCTGTGAAGAGGATCAGGAGGGAAAACCCACTTACTTTTAGATCCAGAAGATGCATCACTGTGGCAGTAACTAATGTTAAGCTCTTAAGAGATTATCTTCTCTAAGGGATGCTCAGTAATTTTCAGGTTTGGACTCTTGATAGAGCATTATGTCTTTGAAACACAGAGTTCCTATGTTAATTAAAATGAATTACTTGAAGTTAGTTGACCTCTAACAGATGTTGGAGTATAAAACCTGTTAGGCAGATAAAAAAGCTTATTAGCATTAATGTGAACCGCAGTTTGCGTCTTCAGAACTGCTTAGATCTTGAAACTGGCACTAAACTGTGAAAATTGGGAAGTACACAGAACATTATAGTTTAACAGATAATTTTTTTATATACCTTGTTGTCTGTCACTGATAGTACTTTGCATAGTTCAGACTTGCTTTGTCCATGTTGCACTATGAACAGGTTTGCTGGAGACAAGATTCTGTGATTTCTGTTTACAGGATGTTCAGAAGCAACACAAGTCTGTATTATAACCCCTTTGAATGTCCTGGGTTTGGTATTGGAGAGGCGTGTCAGGATTGCTGAGAGCATACTACTGCTAGTGATCTGGCATTTGTTTGTCTTGAGTGTATTGAATAGTATCTAAGCAAGTAACATTGCTGTTTAAATAGTGACATTTTATGATAGCTTCGCAGTTGATCAGTGTACGGTTTCAAGCATATCAAAATTTGTTTCAAGAGCCAGTTAGGGGATAGTTTATGCCACCACCACAGATGTAAATGTCCTTTCTACTGACAGTGACATTTCTACATGACAAGCTGAGGTGAAATTTTAAAAAGTTATTTATGATAAAGCTTAGAAATACTTTCAAAAGATTTTAATCTAAGCATCTTTTCCAGCAGTTCTGATCCATAGAAGCAATTACTAGTTGATATTTGTAGAGTGAGATTTTCTTTAAGAATAAAGAATATCTATATATTTAAAAAAATTTCTTTTTTCAAATCTATTGCGACTTCAGCATGCCAGAGATGTTTTTGAGAATGACACCTTGTATTTACTCCTCAGAAACACCTATCTGTTACATAAGGCTTGAAGTCAGAAATACTAAATGAATTTAGGGCGAAAGATTAATATCAAAAATTATTTAGGCTGGATACTGGGGAAAATACTGTGACGATTCAGGTAGGGATGCAATAGAATCTTCGAAAGCTTTTGAGGGACTTGTCTATGGTATACTTGGTCCTGTGAATACATGTGGCTGACAGTAGGTGAACAGACCCTTGCGTTCCTCTAATTTTATAAAAGAAGTCATGGAAGGTCTAAAATGCAAAATCATAATCTTGTTCATTTCTTTATACAGTCATTTTCATTGATAAGGAAGAAAATAGTTCATTATACTGGGTTTGATCAGAGAAAACAAGCAAATGCTGCATTCCTCATAGGCTCCTACGCAGTAAGTATTTAAATTTTTACACGACATGAGCTTCCTAAATGTGTTCACTTTTCCATACTCAATTTTTAAAACAGCAAAATAAAAAGAATTCCTTTCTCTTGAATAGTCTTCCTGTTACTGTATTTTATAGTAAGGTACCACATACAAAGACAGTTTTTAAAGTCTAGCTGGTATGTGAATGGCGTTGTATGATTTTGGGTTTTTTCCTCTCTACTGCAGTCTGTGCTCCTAAGAAATAAGAGCACCACTCAAAAAATATTTATTGATATATTCATTTAGAAAAAAATAGTTGCTGCTTGATGTTTTTTCTCCCCCCCACCCACACATATTTTTTTCTTTTTTAAAATAGAGAAATTTTATGTTGCACAAAGTACAGTGTATAATTTCCCATTGCATGCATGTTTAAATATACCTTTTCTTCACCAGCTGCTGCTTTTCTAATGTAAGGCGATCTCTTCAGTTAACCTAGGAGAAGTGAGATCATGTTGTAGGCTGAGAGCTGGTGTAAAACCTGGGAATATACAAGGTGACTGGAAACCTACTGAGCCAGGTCCCGCACTGCAGAGGGGAAAATGACTGGCTTTATATGCCAGCTGCATGAGTTTGGTACACAGAAGTGTAGTCAAAGAATAAAATGCTGAATGCTTCAGAATGAAAGGTGTGATGTAGCATATTCATATTGTGCTTTGACTTCTAACATGCCTTGATTGTAACCTTCTCTCTTGTTTACTGTGTACTAAAATGAAGTGAGAACCCATTTGTTTTTTTGATGTTGGAGATCTGGGGGGTCAGAATTCATGCCTTAGGTTGTCCCTATTTGTTAGTTGCAGAGCTATACAATACTTGCTGTGATGCTGGCAGTCTTCTTGCTGACTCACTGCATCATGCAGAGGTCCATTTCCTGCTCCTCAGGGTTTCTCTGTTGTCTGTTTTCTACAGTACTTGTTACAAATTAGATTCAAAATGTGTCATTCTTGGTATATGAAACATAGATGCTTAGGAATGTTGCAGTAGACCTTTGCATTCTTAAACTGCATGGAAACTGGCAATATGAGTTACTAAACTTGTTTGCAGTTTGTGTTGACAAAGCAATTGCATCTTTTAGGAAAACTCCTTATGTCTGATGACTTCATCATAATGGAGGCCCAGAAGGGAAAGGGTACTCGCTTCAGTTATCAGCCATTATTTGAAAGGAAATTGGTTTTGTTTTTCCCTGAACTTTTGTTCTGAGTATGTGTAGTAGTAGTATGCAGCACAACAGCTGACATTTCAAGCAGAATCCACAGTATGGAAAATCAACAAATGGTAAAACATCCCAATAGGAAAATACTGTGGTCAACTATGTACAGGAAACCTAATATAAGTCTTGCTTCTGATAATCCAGTAGCCCTGCCATGTTGCAATAACAACAGGGGAATGCTTGAACAGACTTGAATAAAGCTGTAAGATTAATATGTATGGATTATGACAGTCCAAAGCATGGTAATTAAAAATGGAGGCTGCTGGACAAAGAAGTAGGCAGTTTTTGCTTCAAAGAACTGTAGTGAAGGAGGTGGGAGTTGCAGAGTACTGCAGGGATGCTGACACAGATCCAGCTGAAGTATGATAAGAGATCATGAATGACTATCAATGCCTGTGGGAGAGCTAGTTACAGGCAGCTATGTTGCAGAAAGGGGCTAGTCAAAACCACTGGTTATTCTTGGAGTTCAGACACTTGTGCTTAGGCTATTGCATTGTACGTGTTAAATATTTTGGCAGTTTCCTTTTAAGACCCACAGCAAAGAGAAGCACTATGTGAGTATCAGTCCCCTCCTTGAATGAGGTTGTGCCTGTCTTGCCTAATTGCAGGTCCTAGATGATGAGGTAGCTCTGGCTGGACACTGGTTTTCTTTCCAGTGCAACAGACGTTGGCTTTGGTACTGCTTTTTCTATAAAGTAGAGTACAGTTTCTTCCCAGATGGATGTAGGAAGGATTCCAGTGAGGGAAGATCACAGAAGAAGCACAGTGCCCCTGAGGCTCACTTTTTTTTTCCCTGGTGCCCTCTGATGATCTTTCATGAAGAGGCAGGCTTAATTACAGCACTCCCTGCTGAAGTGTTCGAACAGACACCACATATCTGCTTTCTGCAGGGAGAACTGGATTGCTCTCTGTGGGGCAAGCAATGGTATAGGATCTGTTCAGAATGTGTGATAAATATAGGTCTATAAGCATATTTCCTGATTGAAAGGAAATACATTGGAGCCTTCATTAAAAACATACGTAGGCTTAAGCATCCATCTGCTTCTTCAGTTCAGTGTTTTGATTATGACGAAGAAGGATCCATCAAACTATGGGTCAAAACTTTAAGCTTTTCTGTAATTTTGAGTTTGTTTTTTTAGCTTCATGGTGGGTTCTCATTTCAACAGTTTACCTTGGGTTGAGGAACTGTGTCTGGTTGGAGGAGTTCAGGTGGAAAAAGGACGGAGTGGATGAGGGGAAAGAAGGGAAAGGGGGCAGGAAAACCCTTTGTTCTTCACTTTTTAAAGAAAAATTGCTTTTCCTTGGAAGCTCTCTGCACTATTCAGTCCTTACCACTCTACCAAAGCAGCAGTGGTCTTCTGAGTTGATCTCTACAGTGGCTTCTCTTGATTTTCACCAGGACTTGGTTATGGGTGAGGAAAGTCTGCTTCTTCAATCATTGCTCCTTCTGTATTAAGAAAGAAAATGTACCCTCTGTGCTCTGTCTGCCCAATTCCCAAGCTCCCGCCTCTCCCCTTGGCTGCATTAACTTAGTGGTTTTTTTCTCAGGCCTCGCACTAAATATGTACTTGGAGGGTGACCTTCGAAGGGTACCGCCCCATGAACTGCTGTAATTCAGGTCACTCTTCTCCAGGACTCATCTCTGTACCTTGTCTATTTTCTTATCTTCTTTCTTCAGGGTAAGCAGCGTTTCCTTCATCCTTCCTGATCTGTAGTACTGGGGGTTTTTTTGCCTTTTCAATTTGTTAGTGTTCTTCCCAGCTGTGAGCCTAACGCTGGGTAGAAGCTGGAGATCGCAGCAGCAGTTAGCACCTGTCTGTGTGATGTTGAACTGCTCTGTTCTTACCATGGCATTTGCAGAATTATCTCTCGCTAAGCTGTGGGAAATCGGGTAGACCTGTTTATTTAGTGGTCCAGGCCGAGCAGTGGTAAATGTGTAACTGCGGCAGCACTGGAGTTATAGGTGGGTAAATCTTGTTTACTCTCAGCTGCCTTTTGGTGAGAGATGCTTGCGCTTGGCAAGCGAGTAACAGAGACAGGGTGGACAAAGTACTGGCCTTTCATTTAAGCAGAAGTTGCCTCCCGCCTTTTTGGCTTTCTCCATATTTGTGTCTTCTAAAAAGCTACCTTTTCAGAATTGTATTAGAGAAATCTGTCTTCACAACAGCAGCTTATCCTGCTGTTTGTATTAGGTTCTTCCTCACGATGTTCTTACCAAGCTGCTTGTCCCTGTAGGAGAAGAAGGGTTGCTCTTTGGGGGTCCCTCACTATAGCTGGCTTTCTTCTCTGTTGTAAAGTACTGGTGCGTCCAGCCCAGTCAGTTCCGAGCTAATAGGGTTTTCCATATCTCCCCTCTGCTGTTTCAAAGTTAATTGGATGTTGCTTGCTTTTGTTTATGATGAACAAAGAGAGCTGCCAGAGACAGGCAGGTATTTTTCTCTCTGCCATTTTTAACCACTTAATGACTGTGTTTCTGCTAATGAAGGGACAGTTTGCCACAGGTGCATTTCTTCAGTGCACCACAAATCCATACAGGAAGCGTTTTATTCTAATATATTTCTGGTTTAATTACACTGTATTTAACCTTTTCTTCAATGAATATTGCTAGAAAATTTAATGTATTAACTGGCTAGTATACTCAACAGAGGTTTAATGAAATAAAATATTTAATACCTAAGTTATAGTAAAATTATGCATGTGTGTGAGCTTGTGTTTTGAGTCTGGGCACACACAGTAGCTATTTGTATTTGTTTAGAATGAGTGGATTGTGATTATTTGCAGTTTACAGCAGTTCAGGCTATTTTGAGTGAGTGACAGTTTTGGAGCATAGTTGTATCACATGAAATTTGCTTGTAAGGAGTTTAAAGTTAATAATCTGATTATTTTCTTGCTTTTAAGTCAGTATGGTTAGTAAAATGTGTGAGGTAGCAACCTTAAGTAGATTTTGCAGTTAAGGGTGAGGAGGTGGATACACTTGATTAGACTAAGCACATCATAGATGTGAATTTAAAGTGCTATTTACAGACTTGAGCTGGTATAGTTTTTAACAGCACAGCATATTAATGTACCTGATTTAATTTTCCTGAAAAAGCAACAAGTTATGTCACGGATTATTATTAGCAAACATGTTTTGTCTGGCATGCAGTGTAACTGTTTCACTTGGCAATCCCAGATATTGAAGATTAAGATGTCTTTTTCAACAACAGTCTCCTTTCCTTTTCTACCATGTATACTTTACACTATTGCAAATACCATTTTTATGATTGTAATGCTAATCTGGAAAACATTTGTTTAAAAAAATAGGCCTGGTTTGAAAACACTCTGAATCGTCTGATTATGATTCATAATCATACAGTAACATGGCTTGCTAAAAGAACTCTCATTCCATGGTTGATTTTTAAATGCTCATAAAACAAGACTGGGTCACCTGATCCTGCAAGCCCCTCTGTTACAGCTCCATTACAGTGGCTATTTGATCATGCAATGACATTGGCAGGAGCAGTGCTTGAGTGGACCTTTTGCAGTACTAAATGCTTGGATGGTTTTTGACCATTCACAGAGCTGCCTGCAGTCCCTTAATTAGAAACAGATGTCCTAAATGAAAAGCGTGATTAGAGCAATGTTAATCGTGCAACTGCTAATAGCAGATTTCTGTCTGTCTTTTGAAATTCAGTAGGATTTTTTGTTGTATGCATAAAGAAAGCAAATTTCTAAATTGTTGATACACAAATGATTACACATTATGATAAAATATGTTATTTTGCCTTGAAAGATGTCGGTAATTTCTGACAATTTTCCTGGAAAGTACTTAAGTAAAAGATTTTTAAGTATTTTGTTAAGAGTTTTTCCATGTGTATTTGTGTGTGTGTGTATATGTAGATATATATGTACACTCATCTGCACTTGCATATGATTGTAGGAAGATTCTAAAACCAGTGCAACTGTGCTTCTGAACTTCTATGTTATTTCAGTTCTGCTGAATTTTCTAAGTTTTTTTAAAAAGCTGCTTTTTAAAATATTTGCCTGACCTGCAGGAAAGAAGCCCTTTGGGAAATCAATGTAAAATTTTAATAGACTTTTCTACATTTGTATGTACAAGAATGGAAAAAAACTATCCCAGAAAATGCCTGCTTCTGCTAAATAACAGTTAATATAATTGCTTGAAATTTATTTTAATATTTTTTCATCTTTTTAATGTACTTCTTGTTGGTTGCTTTATTGGCATTAACTTAAAAGAACAACTTTATTTGTGAAAGTTTCTGGCATCTTAGAAAGCACCACAGAAACTTAAATTACAATCAGCATCTGGACAAACTGGTTTCAGCTGTAGTATATTTTGATTTCTGGAGGTTATGTCTTTTCCCTATTTTCTCTCCTTCCCCAGTACCTACCTCATGAATTTACAAATGTATCTTTGTTTTGCTATTCATCAGATAAACATTTTCATTATCTTCTCTGAAACTTCAGTTCTGCTGCCTTAGAAAGTCCTACTCTCTTTCAAAACTTCTGTCTACTACAGAGCTCTTAAATCACTTTTACTTTCTCATTTACTGGCTTTCTTTAATCCTTTGTTCACCCACATCACTCCAATGAAATTGTTCATCTTTAAGGCTTTAGTGGCTTCCTCGTGGTCAGAAACAGTATTACATACAGTTTTATATATAATAGTTACAACTATGTTACAATTTCAGTTTGTGTCAAGAGTATGTTTTTGAAGGGAATCTTTCCTTAAACCCTGCTTAGTGCATTTTGGTTCACTTCATGGAGCAGTCTAGGAACAATTCAAACAGGTAATGGGAGGTCAGATCACAGGCCCAGACTAGCACTAGCTGTTAAGGTTAAAAGTGCTGGAAATGTATAGTGCAGATGTCAGATCTTTAGTGCTGGCTCTTAGTCTACAGATGCACTGCTGCTGGGGCACACTACTTCATAATTCATATGCTGTCTCAGCTGCCTTGACCTCTGTTGCTTTCCTGGGCTTTGCTGCTCCCTCCCTCACTCCTTCAGTCTTACGTGTTTCTGTAGCTCAAATTTGGTTCACTCATAGCCTGAACCCAGGCTCATTCTATGTTCAGCCTCCACCCAGCTTTGCTTGCATCCAAGATGTCCAGCTGGCTGCTCTCTTATGGTCGGAAGCTCTGACAGAAACTGATCCTGTCTCCGCTTTGGCTTTCACAGCTGCTTGTGTTGTGTTAACTGCCAGGATACTTTCCTTGGGAAGTAAATAGCTGTTTATGGTCTCTCTCTCATTCTATGTAGAGACTGAATGCCATTCTTTCCTTTTGAAGCACTCCACATGATTGCACCTGTACAGTTATCCTCGTACTCACGTAATTTTTTGATGAGCCATTTTTCACTGACAGCACCATCTGACCATTTTATCAGCTGCTGTCTCTGCAACTGTTCACTTGTTGTATCTTCTGTGTAGCAGTGTCACAGCAGAAGCATGGCAGGATCTCTCTGTTTCAGAAAATTGTGAGAAATCGAACTCTTTAGAGCTTCCTTCTTCAGTGAGTATACGGTATATTGCTTCAGTTGTACAGGAAGTACTGCGTGTTTTTGCTTAGTACCTCATCCACGTTGAAGACGACCATCTTGCAGTGTGCTTTTTATACATACTAAATGATGGCAGACTTCACTGAATGTAATTTTGAAATTGGATCTGTGCTTTAAGAACTAACATGTATCAGTCTATTGTAATGTTATTTAGGCTTATTTTAAAACACTTAAAGATATGGAAAAAACTTGCCTCTGTTAGCTGTTACACTTGCAAACAAATGCTTCTACATTGCATCTTGTTTTCTTTAAGAAGCTGGTAAAAGCTCAGCTGAGATACGGGAGAAATCCTTGGCCTTCCTGAGCTAGATGTGCCTGCAGGATTAGCAAGTATTAGCTGCATTTCCGTTTGCCTGTTGTACAGTTAGTACTCTCTGTGTATTACCCAGCCTTACAGCACTGAATCCCAAGTTTTTTCCAGGTGATTCATTTCTGGCTACAAACTCTGTTTCTGCTGTTTAATTACCTTCTGTTTGTTAAGCCATTTCATCTCTCTGGTTTGCAAGCTTTTCTGAGGCAGAACTTTTTTTCTGATAAGCAAGAGGTGTTAGATTTATATTGTTGCTAACAATACGTGTTCACTGTGCTGCAAGATGTAAAGTATGACTGTATCAAAGCACACAACTTGAAATTTCTTGGAACTTAACCTTTATATACAGCTGGGGCAATGAATATGCCTGCAAAATAGAAAATGAACTCTGGCATCTGAGCAGCTATTCAGTGGTAGTTTGGGGGCTTTTTAAGTCCCTTTGCTATTCCAAGTGTATGCTTGCAAACATAAATGCAGAAGTTACACCCTTCCCCACTGAAAGCACGCACACACACAGCATGCAGTTTTCGTTACTTAACTAAACTACTTAAACAAGACAGAAGTTTTTTAATTTGGTTTTGCAAATTGCGCTGGAAGAATGCTCAGAAAATGTTTAACGCAGTAATTGAATCAGAGGAAAAGTGAAAGGGGCCACCTGTTGCCATGTATGTTTTAGCTGTCTGTTTAGGCTAAGTTTCGAGATAGGTTTGGTTTTGGTGTTTTTTTGTTCTTTTTTTTTTTTTTAGCAACATCTGTTCCACCTCCCATTCTCACCTCACAATAATACATGTGTATGCATGTGCATGTGTGTTTGTGGAGATAGGTTGTTGAAGGTATGTTAAGCCATTTGTTCAAGCTGATTTTGCAGCAGCATCAAAGAAATTTGAAAGGCGATGCCAGCTTTTAAAAGAAAAAATGTCAAAAGCCATAGAAAGCAAAAATGCCACACTTAGATTTTTTTGGGGAGCATTAACTCATTAGAATCCTTACTTTCAAAAAACCTCTATTGAAAATGGTCATTAATATCAGAGATGTAAACAATTTTACTGAACAATAATTAAAAAACTTTCTGTAGTGTGTTAAAGCTGTTGTTATTTTCTGGCCATGCTGGGGATGGTGTTTGATGATACTGGAAGACATGATTTGCATAAAAGAGGAGTTTTACAGTATTCTTTAAGGAGACCTTAGTGTTAGAGGCTATCCAAGGGAGCTGACATGCATGATGGAAGATCATATGGATATCTGTCATGTGTTTGTCCTTTGTGAATTATTTTCTGAGTGTTTTTGATAGTAGAAAGTTTGATACATAGTTCTTCAAGTATGTTACTTCATTCTGTTCTTAGGATTTTGCTTCTGAAGCTACAGATTTCTTTTTTATTGCTGTTCCTTTATGGCATCTGGATTTAGTTAGGGATACTGCTTCACCAGTGCAAAGGAGGAAGTACAGGATTTGGAATAATGCAGATGTACTGCTGCAGGAAGATCAAAACATACAAGAACTACTGTTTTAATCTTGTCTGCTGAGTGTACACCCTGTTTTGTAGACTGAATGATTCATAGCTTTGCTTGTATCTCTGTAGGGTTTTGTGTTGTGATTTCCATCTTAAAAGCTTAATTAAAAGAAAATAAATCTACAAACTGGTCCAGCAGAGTTGCACTAGAAACATGAAAGAAGCCAGACGGACAGAAGCTTTTGTGCTGTAGCCTATAGTTGAACAACAAGTCCACAAACCTATAACTTTTCTTTAAAAATATATATTTCTCTAGGTTGACCAGTATTTTATATTGTTTATGTTAGTTTTATTGTTGTACACTTTTCTTGTTGTACATCTATTCTTGATGCCACCCTTTCTCAACACTTTTGAGCTCTGTGATAATTAGTTATGCCTTCTGTAGTAAACAACCAACTTGAAATTATTAATATCAGTCTTAAAATAATATTTTTATTTCCTTTTCTTTTTCCACAAAAATAGATAATATACCTGAGACAATCCCCAGAAGATGTGTATAGGCTTATATTGGCAGGAGGTGTTTCGTGTCTTCCTTTCAGGTAAAAAACAAGTTGTTAGAACTTTCTGTACCTTGATATTTTGAAGAGGAATGTAGCATTTATCAGTACAAATTTGTTTGTTGGGGTTTTTTTTTGCTGAAGTTTTAATATGTGACACATTCACTGCCTGAGTTTTAAGTGCAGACTGCTGAACAGGGATGTTAGCAGCTGGTACTGAAGTGTACTGACAACAGAAGGTAAAAGGAGTCACTCTGCTTTGTATGTACTCTTGTTGGGCTTTTTGGTCTACACTGCTTCTCAGTCTGCTTGGCAGCCTGGTTTGGTGCCAGTAGAGGGTAGTTAAGCATATAAAAATATCTGTCCTTCATCACAAATGGCTTGTAATGCTTTTAGCACTTCATGTTTCCCGCTTCTCAAATGTATGCAGCAATCCACAAATACTGTTTTGCACATAAAGATTGCTAGCTAACCTCCTATGATTTGGCGTACCTTTTAAGTATTTATTTTTACCAGTGAGGAAATGTGTAAAACCATTGGTTCATGGTTGCTTGAGGGAATGTAATCCTAGCTGTTTCAGACCACAGACTTATCTTTGTGGTATATGCTGTGCTGCTTAGCAAATAAAGTCAATCCATCATGCAGAGGAACAACTTCTCAATTTCCTTCAAAGAGTTTCTAAAAGTTAGACTAAACTTAACATTCCATTGGCTGCCACAATATGCAGAAAAGAATGGCCAAAAAACTTATTAGAAGGCAAGTTTAGTGTTCAAATATATTGTTATGGGGTGTTTAATTCAGTCCTTGCTTGTGTTTTCTGCCTCTCTTGCCAAGAGACAGGCTTTTGATTATTTGAATTTCTATTACTTTCACTCTGCCACCACCTCAGTATAATGCTGTAGTAGCACCTCTCTGTGCTCGCATACTTCCATAATCCCATTTCTTACTTTTAAATTCCATTTTTATATTCCCAGAAGAATAGGGGAAGAATGTAAGAGTTTAGGAAGAATGTAAGGTTTGCTTGAAGTATCATTAAGTTCTATGTGAGTGATGGAGATAGTAGCTTTTCACTTAGGTCACATACTCTGCCCAGATTCCCAGACCATCACTTCAACAGCACTACCAAAAGAAATGCAAAGATGTGTATAGTAAGACTTACTGAAAGCTGACATCCGAAGACATGTCCAACCTCTAGGATAACAGATACAGTCTGCTGAAGTGTCTGCAAACTTCACCATTCTCTTGAGCTTACTAGTGCAACTAAACCTGGTGCAAACAGAGGAATTCAGATTATGTTAACGATCAACTTAAATACTGGTCTGAGCTCTCTTCCTGTAAGATCTTTTTCATCTCTGCAATAAACAGTACCTTCCTGTAGAATAATAAAAAGTCAGTCAGGTAGTTGCTACTTTGGGTCATTATCAGCATGAAAAATTTTGTTAGCAGGATGCAAACAATTTCTTTTTTCACTTAACCACAGAATCACAGTGAGGTTAGAAGGGACCTGTGGAGGTCATCTGGTCCAACCTCCCTGCTCAAGCAGGGCCACTTAGAGCTGGTTGCCCAGGACTGTGTCCAGGTGACTTTTGAATGTCTCCACAAATGGGGACTCCAGCGCCTCTCAGGGCAACCTATGCCAGTGCTCTGTCACACTCAGAGTGAAAAAAATGGTTCCCGGTGTTCAGAGGGGACCGTCTGTGTTTCAGTTTGTGCCCATTGTCCCTGGTCTTGTCACTGAACACCACTGAAGCCTGGTTCTGTTTTCTTTGCAACTTCTCTTTAGGTGTGTATATACATTGATAAGGTCCACCCGAGCCTTCTCTTCTCCAGGCTGAACAGTCCCAGCTCTCTCGGCCTTTCCTTCTGTATGAGATGCTCCAGTCCCTTCTTCATCTTTGTGGCCCTTTACTGCACTTTCTCCCATATGTCCCTGCACTGAGGAGCCCAGAACTGGGCACAGTACTGCAGCTGTGACATCACCAGTGCTGAGGAGAGGGAAAGGATTACCACCTGGACCTGCTGGCAATACTTTGTCTAATGCAGTCCAGAATAGTGTTCGCCTTCTTTGTCGCGGGGCACATTGCTGACTTATGTTCAACTTTGTGTCCACCAGGATCCCTAAGTCCTTTTCTGCAAAACTGTTCTGCAGCTGGGCAGCTCCTGGCCTACAGTGGTGCCTGGGGTTGTCCCTTCCCAGGTGCAGGACTACGCTTTCTCCTTGTTGAACTTCATGAGGTTCCTGTCAGCCCATTTCTCCAGCCTGTCAAGGTCCCTCTGGATGGCAGCGTGACTCTCTGGCATATCAGCCACTCCTCCCAGTGTTGTGTCATCAGCAAACTTGCTGAGGGAACTCTCTGCCTCTTCATCCAGATCATTAATGAGGTTATTAATCAGGATCAAATGCTAAGGAGGCCTTAGCTTTCTTCGTTGTGTCCCTACATCCTCTGACAGCAGTCTTGTGTTCCTCCCAGGTGGTCAGCCCCTTCTTCCATGTTCTAAGAATTCTGCTTGCTCTGCAGTGCTTATGGAATCTAATAATGGTCACATAATAAGACGATGGATCAGCAGAATTTAGAAAATTGTGGTTGAAAGAAAAGGTTTTAATGAAAACCAGTTTCTCCTCATGTTTAGGCATGAACTATTTTATGCATCTTAAGGAAAGTCTTCTAATATATCTACACGAATGTGTATCTTGACAGTTTTAGTAAGAAGATGCTGCTCACATAAACATAGAATGCATGTGCACAACATCTTTTTTTCTTTTAAACAGTTTGAAGGAAAAAATTGCAGTGTATTAAAGTTTAACTTTTTTAAAAGTATACTTCAGAAGAAAGTGTTCTAAGAGTGTATGTTAGAATATGAAACTAATTTAGGCATTAACTTACCACAAGGAGTTTGTGTTTAATCTTTGTTGACATGAACACTGAAACGCTAGTTTCATTGTTCATGTCAGAAACTGAATATGTCAGCTTTACTAAAACTGTAAGTGCAGTAATCTTACTCATGGATCATCTAGTAACATAACTTATTTTATGGTTTTGCATTATTGTAAGATGCAGGGTGGGGGAAATTAACTAGTAATTTGTCATAATTATCCCACTAGCACAGTAACTATCTTGAAGCAGTTTTTAAAGTTGTTTTAGATAAATATCTTCAATTATTTTCACTTGGATTAAAATGGGATAATTTTACCATTTTGGCCATGATATTTTTTAGGGATGCTTCCTTTGGTACTTGCCGTTTTCATCTGACACTGCTGGACTGTTTTCATGCAATAAACAAGGTCAGTAAAGCAGTATTTTTCATATTGCAAAAGGTCAGCTAAATATTGCTTAGCAGAAAAAGAAAGCTTAGTCAGATAGGATCCAATTAGAGCTGTTCAGTAGCAGATTTTCTGATTGTTTTCTAGCTTATTGTCTTATGTTGCCTACAATGTATTATGCATTGTAACAACACTTTTAGATACAGCACCCATAGAAGTAGACCAGTACATTATATAATCAACTAGTGAAGATTTTAAAGAGGGAATTTTGAGTTTTATTTATGTGGTCTTTCAGGACAGTAATTCACACCTCTAATCCCTAAGGGCTGTGTGATAGGTTTATTGTGTGCCTCCCCTGGTGTCACATTTTAGGCTGAGTATAGCCTTTGAAAGTGGTTTTGAATTGGTTAGTGATACTTAGGCATTTGCAGCGTGTGCTAATGACTTCAAGCTTTTCTTTAGCAATACAAATAGAACAAATGTTAGGGGGCAGGTGGTTTTTGGTTTGGGTTTTTTTTTTTACTACAAATTACCAGTCTAGTGTTTTATACCAATGCAGTGGTGAAGTAAGGTGGCATTGAAGGACAGGGAAATTTATATGCATTCTTTTTAGTCTGAGGAATGAAATGGGGAATTCTGCAGCTCTCCACCCTACTGCTGTCTTTTGTATTATGGATATCTCTGCTAAGTACTAGTGTTTTTACTGATTAAGCCAGCTTCTTGCAGATTTGTGATTTTCAGCTTTTTTGGATGTTTTGACATTGGCTGCTTGTACACGAAGAGTGGTGAATTGCTATTTTCTTAGTACTGGGGAATGGCAAGGAAAACTACAGAAGATTATGCAGTGAAAGCAGAGATCAGAATTTAGTATTGTAAACAGGAGATACAGGACTATCTGTTTCTTGACTTAATAAGTGGGTAAACTGCCAGTTTTTATTTTTGTTTTAATACAGTATTAAATATGATCGTTGTGGATAATTACAGGACATCAGGGACCACACAAGTCTGCATAGGATCATGTGTCTGCAAACAGTTTAAAATCAGTGAAGATGTTAGCATCATAATGAAAGTGAATAGCATTCATGCACAAAAATATTTGCAGTCCTTGAGTGGAGACTTTAGAATGTTTTCCTAATTTCCATAGATAATTTTTGCCAGTTATTCTTCTCTTTTTTATTTTGTACACCTAGCAGTAATATAAAGACTGAACACTTCTGCAGTCTGGTA